TTTCCTCTTTCAATCTTTTTCTAGGTGGTAAAAAAAATTTCTACACCTTTAAATCTTAGCATGACAACTAACATCCATACCTGGCTCTCAAATGCAATCATGATAATTAATATTGCTCTAATCAAAAAACGATACTTAATATTGCTATAATATTTTTTTCCCACTTAGCACATGTATCCTACACGCAACATAATATTATATCACAATATTTTAGCACAGACACCTGTGCTTGCCACTAATCTCTGTGTTTTTTTTAACTTAATCCAATTTAATTAATATCATTTGGTCCCTTATCTTCATCACGTCCAACCCATACGAGAATGGGCAGCAACTCCATATAATTGATAGTTTGTCTTTTAGCTTGCACATGCGCTCCATTGTCCATTACATAATTTTTACTTAAGGTTCTCTTCACTATTCATTTTTCAGTAAATAAATTAATTCACAAAGATTATCCTTTGTGTCTTGTCTATTAGTTATATTTAAAACAAAAGCCCAAGGTACCATGATTCCCCTTGAATTTATAAAGCTGTAAAAATCTTTTCAAGTTTGTCCCTATATATATATTTATGTGTTTTGCATTAAAGTCTCCATTCCTTTGCTCTCCATTCCTTTGCCTCTAATTCTTATATCTTTATTCATTTAGAGAACCTTACATCCTCACTAAACCATTCCCTACGTCATTGCTAAGCTAGGAGGGAAAACATGGAATTTCATGTACTCATAGTCTTTCAAACATGAAGTAGAATTCGAGAATGATACATAACACTTGTCGGATATATCTATATTAAAAAGTTCACGTATTATTACGTCTGTTTTTCAGAGAACATATGTTAGAGGATAAAACAAAACTAAAACAAGAAGTCCTGTTTGATTACCTATTCTCAGAACAGTTTTTTAATTTGAAAATAGAAAATGTTTGAAAATATATTTTCTCTTGTTCGTTTTGATAAAAAAATTGAAATTTATATAAAAAAATAAAAGTTTTCCTAAAAAAGAAAAATACAACTATTGATCCCTATAATTTTATTGTATTTTATTATTATAGTTTTATTGTATTTTATTATTAGTCCTTGCAGTACTTTCTATTGTGTTTTTGTTGCTTTAGGCTCCTATGGTTTTTCTTATCTGTGATGTTAGTCACTCTATTTTTAAATATGTCTAGAGGGACAATGATGTGACACTAACAATATTTAATTATCTGACGTTTGAAACTAACAGTGTTAAATTGAATTAATGTTAAAATAAGAAAGAAAGAAAGAGACAAAGCAATCACAAATACAGGGTAACAAAGATAAACTGGAAGAAATTGAAGACTAAATCTGACTACACAAAGAAAATAAACTTCAACAATAACATAAATAAAAAAGAAATAATGTAACTTTTAATCCCTTAAATTTGTCTTAATTATTAATTTAATTTTTATTGATTTAGGCCCTTAAGTTAATTTCAATTATCGATTTGATCCTCATTGTTTAAAAAAGAGGTGAGACTATTAAAATTTGCTGACATAGATAATAAAATATTGATGAAATCTATGTAAATTAATAAAAAGAGGTGTAATTATTTAGTTATGGAAAAAAACTCTGAAATTTCAAGAAACAAAATAGCAAAACATATTGTAAGAGATTATATTGATAAAAATTAAACTGGTTTGAAGATTAATTGTTCTCATTTAGCCATATACATCTCAAATATTAATATATTGAGAGTTAATTTGTATTTTAAAACTTAAAGAATTCCAATGATAATTTAAGAAAATATAAAGGACTAAATTAATAACCAAGCCAAACTTATCTAGAAAAACAAAATAAGCAATGGCTTCAAAATTTATAAATAAATAAATAAATAAAACAGAGGTGAAAAGATCGACGAGTTAAAAGTTTATAAGAATGAGCAAAATAAAACATAGCCTCTGTTTGACGTGTAGTGAAATGATGTTAGTTATACATTAGGTAATTTAACACTATTAAAGCTACATTATCATCCCTAAGGGCAGTTTTTTAAAATAGATGAATTAACATTGCATGCAAGAAAACTTGGCCTAAACCTTATCCTAATTCTAGTTAGTGCCGGCCTGTCTTTCGAAACTTTTGGGGAGAGGAGTCCTAAGTTCGGGCCAATGCTTCGTAAGCCTTCTTTAGTTAGGCTCATTCATGAGAAAGACTTGAGGAATTCTAATAAATTCATATTTTCAATGAGTCTTTCAAGACAGCTCTATATTCCTATGGCACCTGAAACAACGAGAAAAAAAAAAAAATAAAAGAACTAATAACAAAGCATGACAAAACTATAAGAATCAATAGTTGTGTTTTCCCTTTCCAAAAAACTAAAAAAGCAGAACATCTTTTAGATATGTTGTTACTTTTTGTTCTATAAAACTAAAGAAAACACAAAAAAATCATATTTTTATTAATGAAAGTTATGTTAATAAAATAAATTATTCTTTCACCATTTATTTCACTAATTTAGATATGTTTTTTAAAATAATAATTACAATAATTGTTTTAACAGCATAAAAACGGTAACTAGAATCAAATAAGCTAAGCCAGCCTTTTTTGGGTTTTGGAATCTTAGACAAGCGGGTGCACAATGCGCATTATTGAATTCAAATCTGTTTTGCATTCACACACACAATGAAAATAAAGAAATCATTAGAGAAACTAACAACAAAAAGATGTAATTAGAAAACATGAGGACTTTTTAATAATTAATTTTTTTATATGAAACATTAAGAGAATAATTCTCCTAAAAAAAAAAAAGCTAGGAATTTCAATTAAAGCATAATTCCCCCCATACAATTCTAGAATATACCGCAAGTCAAACCTCCATTATTATATTATACACATAACATCGTGTGACAGGACAGCAGCCGCCTCTATTTTATAATGAAAACAAGATTTACAGAGGCAGATCTAAAAATTAAAGAAGAATTGTTCTGAATAAACATTGGAATAATATGTTTGGTGGGCGGGTGATGCCTCTGGTTCCTAAAGTCAAACCCCCTTGCTATATTGTCAGGGATAATGTTTTTACTTCCAATTAAATGGATAGAAAAAAATTATAATTTTTTTAAAAAAATAAAACTTTTTATGATTTTAGGAAATTTTTTCCTTAGTTTTCTCTCTTTCCTATTTTCTTCTTGCCTTTCCCTCCATCTAAACCAAAATCATAGTATCTCCATTTTGTTTTAACTGCAGGTTTGGTTTCTTGAGTTTAATTTTATTGATTTGATATTTTAAATTTGTCTTAATTATCAATTTATTCTCTTACCACTATTATTTAGAGCTAATATTTTTTTCATTTAGCTACATATATACATGTCAATTCATCGACATATTTTACACATCAAATTAATTTAAAAGTCAATTTATGTTTTTAAAATGAGAAAAGATCACCAAGGTACCACTTGAGGTATTTTATATCAAAGGACTTTAAGATTAAAATTTTGATTTTTCATTGTACCCCGTAGGCCTATGAAAAATGATTGAATTGTCTCTAAATTTTAAAATAATAAGTGTTTACTTTGCATAAATAACAAGTTATTTCACAACAATCAATTTATGGTTAATAACAACATATTCATAATTTAATAAGATTAAAAAAATGACAGCAAAAGCTTAATGAAATTAGTGTTCATTTTATATAAACAACAAGCCATTTGGATTTTAACAACAACTAATTCCTGATTAATACCAACACATTTGGAATTTAACAACATTGAAAAATTGATAGCACATATTCAATAGAACCAATGTTCTCCCTACATAAGTAATAAGCCATTTAGATTTTGACAACAATATATTCGTGATTAATATTAGTATATTTAGAATTTAACAAGATTAAAAAACTGACAGCATAAATTTAATAAAACAAGTATTCATTCTGCATAAAGAACAAGCCTTTTAGGTTTTGGCAACAACCAATTCATAATTAAGAACAACAAATTCAAACTTTAACAAGGTTAACAAATTGATAGCACAAGTTTAATGAAGCAAGTCCTCACCCTAACAAGAAATTCAAATTTTGACAATAATCAATTTGTAATTGGCAATGACAAATTTGGATGTTAACAATTAATTCCTATTTAGTTGTTTCTCTTTCTTCAAGGGGAGCAATTAAATCATTTCTTATAAAAAATACTTTTAACTAAGGACCAAGGGGTGCTGAAAAATTAGAATCTTAAGGTCCTTCTTTGATATAAAACATCTCTAGAGTTCCTCAATTGATATTTTCTCTTTAAAAATTAAAAGACTAGCATAATGATTTTAAAAAAAATACTAAAGACTAAATTGATAAAAAAATAAATTTGAGTGATTAAATTGATAATTGAAATAAATTCAGAAAATATATCTACTGGTCCTTACAGTTTCACTTAATTTTAAATTAGGTCCTTACAATTTATTTTGCTTTAATTAATTCCTTATAGTTTGATCAATTAATTTTTTAATCCTTGAAGATTAAAATCCTTAAATTTTTTATTTAAAAAAATAAAATGAAGAATTTTTATAGTTTTATTAAATGATTTTATAAATTTAGAATTAATTACATGATTTTGATAACTCAAAATTTAAGTTGTCTTCTAAATATTTTTTTATACATATAAAATTTTTATAAAAAAGTAATAAAAATGTAAACAATTTAATAAATCAAATTTTTATTTTTTTGATTTTTCCTAAAAATATTAAATTATGTTTTCTATCAACTCTAAGAGTATTTTTATTTTGTGAAATTTAATAATTCATTATTAATTTTAACTTTCAGGGTTAACATATATAATAGATCAAACTTTAAGGACTTGATTAAAATAAAATAAACTACAAGGACCTAACTTAAAATTTAACAAAGTTAGAAGGACCAGCAAATCAATTTTCCCAAATAAATTTAAGTTCCGACGACTTCATTTTCCCATATTTTGATGACCATGGATATTTTGCACAATGCATCACCAATTTAACTATCTATTTATATTCTTATACAAAGTACTTCAAAGTAGAAACTGCCTCTATGTCCCACAATGGAATCATCAAAACCCATTATCTCTGTTCCTGCAATTCCAATCATCGGCTTCTTCTTCTTCATAGTCGTTAGCTTCATCAGAACAGGTGCTTCTCAGAAACCAAACTACGTTGGAAATGATTGTCAGAGCAAGACCCAACAAACCCTTACTTCCTCTTACAAAGTCAACCTTAACCAGGTACTGTCAAGGCTGTCTGCTGATGCTGCCACGAGAAAACGCTACAGTAACACCACAGTTGGAAACGCCACTGACACCGTGTACGGCCTCTTCGACTGCCGTGGGGATGTAGTCGGATACTTCTGCCAGTTCTGTGTCACCACTGCTACCAGAGATGTTCTTCAACGTTGTCCCAATCAATATTCTGCTGTAATACGATACCAATCTTATGTGGTATGCTTACGAACACTCTGAACTCTCTTTTTTTCTTTTTAGGAATTGAAATAATATATATATATATATATATTTTGGCAACAGAATTTGAAATTATGTTTTAGTAACTCGATCGGCAGTTAAAAGAAGTATATAGAGAAATCGCGTATGCTTCTATTTGGATTTAATGTTTTTCGAGATAAAATTCATCTGTTGATGGAGCTGATTTGTTTTTTTTAGGGGTTCATATTAGGATTTTTTGGTAAATTTAATTACGAAATGTTTTTTTTTTTATTGTTCTGTCTATTTTTTATTTATTCTTTATGCTATTCATATTTAATATGAGCAATTTAATTTTTTTTTTCATTTAAATTTTCAAGATCCCAAGAATTAAATAAATGTGGAATTGTATAAGTTAAATTTGGCTGGAGTAAAGCATACCTAGCAAATTGAAAAAAGAAGATGAATTATTGAGAGTGGGATTTGAACCCCACGCCCTTTCGGAACAGAACCTTCATCTGAAACCATAGACCAACTCAGCCATCTCAACTAGGTGTAAGCTTCTGCTAAGAAAAGAGGTTCATGAATTTAAGAAATGCTAGATAGGTTCCTTGGTCCGTGACAATCGTTTCCTCTCTCTCCCTCATCCCCCCCCCCCAAATACTGCCATTATTGGCACCGTTGGTGTTAACCGTCGAACCACTACTGCCGACCCCAATGTTGGTTGGTGTATCGTCGTCATCGATGTGGGATTTATAGAACTCCTTCTCTTTGCATTCACAACTCTTTTTTCTATTTATTCATAGATTTCATAGATAATAAAAAACATAGGAATAAATGTAAGTTCGGGAGGATTTTTAAACTTCTATTACAATGCCTTCTTTTGAATTTACAACTCTTGTGGTTCTTTTATCTACGAAATTTGTGAAGGAAAATACAGGAATTGTAAAATTTGGAGGAAGAGTTATAAATCTAATGAAGGCATGCACCAGAGCTAGCTGCTAAAACCGCAGCAATGGTCCGGCAACCGATGATGACAACCATAATAGTTATAGTAGGATGGACAGAGTAAATTAAAAGAGTAGAGGAGTGATTTCGTCTTCACAATAATTTCACAATGAAAGTTAGGAACCAAGGTATATCTATTTGACATTTTTCAAATTGGATGGACGACTATGCCTCACTAAGTTTCTTACCAAGGGCTCATGTCCACCTCAAGTAGTCCGAACCCTGCTGTGTGGAATTGTTATTACCAACAACATTTTTATAGACGTCTCAAGGATGTGTTTGACATATTTATTTATCATAATGTATCTTAAAATATTTTATGTATTATATTGGTACTTGGGATTCAACATAAATAGTCCATACATTTCTGAGTTTTTAAAATTACATTGTTTCCCTTATTAATAGATGATGTGGCACGATAGATAAGAAATAAATCAATATAAACATGTGGATACCTTTTTCTTTTCCTCAAGACTGGATTGACAGGTAATGAAATTGAAATTTGTGCCCTTTAACTATTCCTCATGCTAGAGTGAATATTTATTGATTGTAACATATAGGTACAGTTATTGCATTGTCCAATACTTGAACCAGAACTTCTTTGGGAAGGTGATGTGGAGCCCGATTTGGCACATGCAAGGAGTGAAGATGTCAGATTCGATGGAGGGGAAGAAGGTAGAGAGTTACTATTAGCAACACCGGCGATAGACTTGAATGCACGAAATACAAATTGCTTGAGTCATGCCTGGAAGGACACTGTCCTTAAGAACTATTCTAGCACACCTTCCAATGACCGGCAGTTCCCCAGGATTAAACAAGAACTTCCTGCAGTGGAGTAAGGCAACAGAACAATAGAGAGTAAAAATCAAACATAGACATAAAGACGAACACAAGAGTAGAATGCAGAGGAAGGAGAGAATTGCCTCGGAAACTTAAGAGGCTAGTATCCTGTTTTGTCTGCACCTATGGCTATATATAGCCCGAGGAAGGAGACATGAATGTTGGCTCATAATCATCAGATTAAAGCTTCAGTTACACTCTCATAAATCACGTTTAAGCACTCGTCTGGGGGTTACACAGACGTAAATCACAGTTAAGCCTCTGTCTGGAAATGTTGGCAGACAAAATGTTTAAGATATTAACTTCACAAAACCAATTTATCTAAAGATGTTGGTAGACGAAACATTAACTCAAAATTGGTTTTCAAAAGAGGTTTAATGCTGAAAAACTGCCAAGGCTTCAAGTTCAAATTTGAAACAGCAAAATTAGAGGTTTTTGGGTAAGCTAAAAATAATTATTTATTTAATTATTTTGTAAAAATAACCCCGTAAAAGGAACTCATTGTCTCTTGAACTCGTGTGTAGGGGGGCGAATCGGCTGATTTCAACTGCGATTGCTCTGTGTTGGCTTGTCTCATGTGCACAAGGCCACTTCTCTTCCAAGCCCATTTTACTAGCCCACTTCATTCCTTAGTATATATACACTAGGAGATTCTTTATTTTAGTCAATGTGGGACTTTGACACACACACACACACACACTTTTGATACACATTCAACAATCCCTCACATATGTCAAAAGGATCTATGTTCGTCTGTGTTATTCACACAGAGGATAATCACTTCGAATTTGGCCTCTGTCGACTTGAACCAAACCCAGACTAATAAAACTTAGCAAACAGGAAAGTCGGTGTAACTTCATTATTGAGCTAATAGATCTTGAGCGTGTGCTAGAGGTCTTATTAATCAGATTATACCCCCACAGTCTCTGCTATTAATGATGATTTTACACATTATCGGCCATGCGCATGCCTAGTTTTAACAAATGCTCTAAAGATTTCGCCATGATCTTATAGGAGCGGCCCTACTCCACATTTGTATAGGTGTTTTCATCAAGTGTATCTACAATGAATACACCATCCATAAGGACTATGATAACATTAAGAGCTTTCGCCCAACCTCCGTTCAATGCATTCTAGCACTTTCTCAAGCCATAGGAGGGGATAAAGTTTAGTGCTAGCAGAACTAACAATTGACTTGTTCTTACCCCTTAAACCTTCTTCATGAGATCTTTAATCACAAAGATTAGGTTGCCATTACCGTTAATTTCAAACAGGCTTAAGTCCCATTCCCCTTGACATTTTAATAATAAATTTCTTCCCTAGGGGTTTAGTTAACGGATATGTTAGATTTAACTCTGATCTCACATAATCGATTGAGATGACCCCATCTTTGAGCAGCTGTCTTATAAAATTATGTCTCAATCGAATATGTCTACTTTTGCTATTGAAGGTCTTATTTTTAGCCGTTGCTATTGCAGACTAGCTATCACAATGTAAAGACATTGATGGTGTGGGCTTTTCACCTATTGGAATACTTGCTAAGAAGTTTTTCAACCACTCAGCCTTAGTCCCAGCCAGCTCCATGGCAATGAACTCAGAATCCCTTGAGGATTTTATGTTGATTGTCTATTTTGTAGACTTCTAAGTTATTGCACCACCACCAAGAGTGAATATATAACCACTTGTAGATTTTGTCTCTTCTGAATTCAAAATCCAGTTAGTATCACTGTATCCTTCCAATACATTAGGAAATCCACTATACAATATATCATAATTCATGGTACCTCTCAAATATCTTAAGACTCTCACCAAAGCCTCCCAGAGTTTACTGCCTGGATAGTGGGTATATCTACTCAATCTGCCTACAGCATAAGCTATATCAGATCCAGTAAAATTTATCAAATGCAACAGACTCCCAATAATCTGTGCATACTCAAATTGAGCAACTGAGTCACCCTTGTGCTTTTTTAATTGCACACTCAAATCATAAGGAGTACTCAGACATCTTCAAGATGTTTAAATTTTTTGAGAATTTTCTCAACATAATGTGCTTGAAAAAGCAAGATTACATTTTCATTCCTTATGATTTTTACACCCAAGATTACCTTGAATTCACCCATATCTTTCATATCAAAATTTAAAGAAAGAAATTTTTTTTTCATTAACAACACACATACTAGAGAAAAAAATTAGCATATCATCCATACAAGCATATAATCACACAATCATTATTCACAAGCTTTGTATAAACACATCTTTCTACTTCAATAGTAGAAAATCCACCAGTTGTCCAAACTTGATCAAGTTTCTCATGCCATTGCTTAAGCGCTTGTTTTAAGCCATACAAAGACTTGACAAGTTTATAAATTTTATTTTCTTGCCTAGGAATCACAGATCCCTCAGGCTGTACCATGTAAATTTATTCTTCTAAATCACCATTTAAAAATGCAGTTTTAACATCCATTTGGTGAACAAAAAGCTTGTAAATTAAAGCCAAAGCAATAAGAACTCTTATAGAAGAGATTCTAGTTACAGGAGAAAATGTGTCAAAACAATCTATATTTTCTTTTTAAGTAAAACCCTTAGCCACAAGCCTTGCTTTATATTTATCAATTGAATCGTCTGAAAAATATTTTTTCTTAAAAATCCATTCACACCCAATGGCCTTATCTTCTTGGGGCAAATCTGCTAAAATCCAAGTTTTATTTTTTCCTTAAAGAATCAATTTCAATTGCTTCTTTCCAAAATTTGGCATCAGGAAAAGAAATAGCTTCATAAAAATTTAACAGTTCATCTTGTACTAAATAAATGTAAAAATCATCTCCAAAACTTGTTTCTTTCCTTTGCCTTTTACTTCTCCTTAAAACCAAATCCTTATTTAAATTTTGTTCAAACTCTGAATTAACAGCTTTAGAAACATGTTTAATTTTCAAGGGAAAAATATGTTCAAAATAATTCAACATCCTCAGTCTCTACAATTGTGTTTTGTTCAAAAATCACTTTTTAAAACTAAAAAGCGATATGCTACACTTTGTTTAGCATACCCAATAAACATACAATCAGAAGTTTTAAAACTAATTTTTTTTCTTTTTAGGATTAGGTAATAAAACTTTTGCAAGACACCTCCATACTTTTAAACATTTTAAATTTAGGGTGAACCCTTTCCATAACTCATAAGGTGTTTTCTTTGTTTTTTTATGAGGTGTCCTATATTGTAAAAAACATGCAGACAAAATAGCTTTACCCTATAAGTTATCAGGTGTAGAAGAACTCACAAGCAAAGCATTCATCATTTCTTTTAATGTTTTATTTTTTTCTGCAACACCATTAGACTCAAGAGAATAAGGAGGTGTTATCTCATGTATAATTCCTTCTTTTTCACAAAAATTATTTAACAAAACATATTCTCTACCTCTATCAGATCTAACTTTTTTAATCCTTTTATTTAACTAATTCTCAACTTCTGCTTTATATAAAAGAAATTTTTCAAAAGCCTCATCTTTGTTTCTTAACAAATATACCTTAGTATATCTTGAAAAATTATCAATAAAAGTGATATAATATTTTTTTTACCACCTCTAGTCATAATTTGTTTTAGATCACCTAAATCTGTGTGAATTAAAGAGAGTAATTCAGATTCTCTCTGACTTGAAAAGTGAGGTTTTTTACTTTGTTTAGTTTCTGCACATACTTCACATTTTCCAAAATCATTGTTTTTAATTTTAGAAAGTAGTCCAAGTTATCGCATCCTATTTATATAACCTTTACTAGTGTGACCTAATCTAGCATGCCACAGATCAAAGGAATCAACCATATAAATAGACATATACTCAGAAGATTTAGTCTTATGCATTTCATCAACATTCAAAACAAACAATCCTTGATTACAATACCTTTTGCCCACAAACACATTATTCTTTATCATTACAATCTTGCAGATTCAAATGACACTTTAACCTCAGTTTTCCCTAAAAGAACAACTGATACTAAGTTTACTCTAATTTTAGGCACATGCAGAACATCATCTAGAGCTAAAGTCTTTCCTGTTGTGAGCTTTAAGACCACTTTTCCTTTTCCTTGAACTTTAGCAGTTTGGGAATCAATAAGGTAATATGGTCTTCCCCTTCCTTTACAGAATTATAGGAGGTAAACATCTCTTGGCTAGCACATATGTGCCTGGTAGCCCCAGAGTCTACCACCCATTTCTTCATATTAGAAATCAAGAGAGCTTGTAACACCACTGTAGCAATGATGTCATCATCACTATCACCATCTCGTTGTACCAAATTTACATTTGGCTTTCAAGGCTTATCACGGTTTGCTCTCTTCCTACGCTGTGCTGTATGGTATCTTGGTTTACCACAAACAAAATAGTCTCCTTTCTTCTTGAAAGAGGTGTTAGAAGCATTGGGTTTGTAATCAAATTTTCTATTCTTCTTATCTTTAGTTTTAGGATCATACCTCTTGTTGTGAGGCTTTGTCTCTACTAGGTTGGCTTTGGATTTCATTTCTCTTGTTCAAGCTGCATGTATTGCCATGCAATTGGCGTCTTCGATGATAATGTGAGTGATTAGGTCAGTTAAGGATAACTGCTTCTGTTTGTGTTTCAGCTGCTGTTTATAGTCAGACCATGATTCTAGCAGCTTCTCAATTAGGATCCCAGCAACAAACTCGTCTAGAAGGTTGATGTTTTTAGCACGAAGCTACTTTGGCAGCTTATGATATTCGTTAATTTGCTCCTTCACATCCTTGTTCTCAGTCATCTCCCATTTGTAGTAGTTGACCACAATGAAATTTTGTTTGCTGGCATCCTCAGTAGTTTACTTTATCATCAAGGACTCCCATATCTTACAAGTTTCCTTGTAGACACAGTAGACATTGAACAAATCATTAGATAAAGTGCTAATGATAGTACATTGGCATACCTTGTTTGTATGAGTCCATACAACTCTTTAGGCTTGATCAGTATCAGCAGGAGGCTCAGATTGAGCAAGAGTAGCAGCCACACCATGCATGTCAAGAATGGTGAACACTCATTCCTGCTAGCATTTGAAGTTCCTGCCATCAAAGACTTCTATCTTCGATATGTCTGGGAATGGCCTTAGTAGGGGGACAGAAATAGGAGCAGGGATATACTGACCTCTAGCTGAACTACTAGGCACACCTTCAAGAGTGACATTCTCAGCATTGTTGGTCGCCATTCGGTTGATTAGTCCTTAAGATTGTTAGCGACATTGGCGGTAGACGTGAACGGCGAAGTACGAACTGCTTGAGTTGTGCCCGGAAGGACACTATCGTTAAGAACTATTCCGGCACACCTTCTGATGACCAGCATTTCCTTAGGATTAAACAAGCACTTCTTATGATGGAGCAAGAGAATAGAACAACAGAGACTAAAAATCAAACACAGACGTAAAGATGAACACAAGAGCAGAATGCAGAGAGAGGAGAGAGAGAATTGCCCTAAAAACTCAAGAGGCTAGTACCCTGTTCTGTCCGCACCCATGGCTATATATAGCCCAAGGAAGGAGACATGAACGTTGGCTCATAATCACCTGATTAAAGCTTCGGTTACACTCTCATAAATCATGTTTAAGCACTTATGTGGGGGTTACGCAGACGTAAATCATAGTTAAGCCTTTGTCTAGAAACGTTGGCAACCAAAACGTTTAAGATATTAACTTCACAAAACTAGTTTATCTGGAGATGTTAGGAGACAAAACATTAACTCACAAAATTAGTTTTCAGAAGAGGTTTAATGCTGAAAAATTGTCAAGGCTTCAAGTTTAAATTTGAAATAGCAAAATCAGAGGTTTTTGGGTAAGCTAAAAATAATTATTGATTTAATTATTTTTGTAAAAATAACTTGATAAAAAGAACCCATTGCCTCTTGAACTCGCGCGCAGGGGGTGAATCGGCTGATTTCAACTGCGATTGCCTTATGTTGGCCTGTCTCATGTGCACGAGACCACTTCTTCTCCAAGCCCATTTTACTAGTCCACTTCATTCCTTAGTATATATACACTAAGAGATTCTTTCTTTTAGTCAATGTGGGACTTTGACACACACACACACACTTTTGACACACATTCAACAGTTACATAAGGAGTTTGATCAGGCAAGCGACGGAGGAGACGAAGGATTATTTGCATGCACGGGATGTTTTGATTCAGAAGGTGGAAAAAGAAGGTATGTTTTGGTACAGTGTCGCAAAGACCTTGGAAGTGATGGTTGCACGAAGTGTTTGGAGGCAATATTAAGTAATGCTACTCAATGCTGTGTGCATAAGCAAGATTGGCAAGTTGGCACGCCAAGTTGTATGATCAAGTATAGTGATTACATGTTTTATCAGGCAAACATATCTCTCTCTCCCTCTCTCTCACTAGGTGAGTTGGGTTTCGGAGGTTCACTAAGGCTAGGGCATGCCTTCAAGGTCAAATAGCATTTGTAGCAAATTGCCCACCAACAAATTAAGTCCTTGCATTGGTAGTGAAATTTAAACCCATGACCTTAATGTATGGGCTAAATTCTTACCAATTAGATTAACTTTTATTAGCTAATTAACATATCTTTCTTTTTGGGGAATCGCATTTTGAGACTAAAAGACCAAATTAATTTCAGTTTAGAAGTGGAGGAAAAAATCTGAAAATCTAATTAGAGGACCAACTGTCCTTAATTAAGTAATAAAAAACCAACATGAAATTCCAATGATTTTAGTTTAATTTAACATTTGTTTTCTGAAATTTGACACTATTTATGCTTCAAAATTCATATACTTTTTAAAATTATGAATCTAGTTTCAATACTTTGAGATTGATGCTAGAGTAATTTGCAACCAATTAATCCTCTAAAATTTAAGAAACAATATTGGAAAAAAAATTTAAATAAACTTTTGAAGTTTTTTTTATTTACTTTTAGGAGTGACACTATAACCATTAGAAATTGAAAAATAACCATACAATAATTTGCAACTGAAATTATTGTACTGAGATTTTACATTGGGATTTTATGACTCAAGGATCTTTGGTACTTGCTGAAATTTCAAATTTTTTTGTACCAATTAAATTGGTCTTCTAGTCTTAAAATGTCATTTTTCTGATCTCCCTTCTTTTTTGTTTTTTTTTTTGGTACAAAGCTTCCTTACAGTTTAATTTGGACTGTCTCTCCACTAAATCTGCAACTGTAACTAATTAATATCCTTATATCAGTGTCTTAACATATTGAAAATAATGTTCTATGAAAAGTTGTCTATATATGTTGCAGTTAATAATGGAGTTAGCAGGTCAAAAGCCTTGATCATAAGCATAAGTGTGTTAGTGACTGTGGCCATACTAAGCTTTTCTGTCTACCTCTTCAGACGAAGCAAGAGTAGAAAAGGTATTTATCACAATTTATGTGGATTATGATTATATATATATATATATAGAGTATATAAATTTTAGTCTAATAATGTTGAATATATATTATTGCTGGCCAAAAATGATATTGAGAATATCTTCCACCGTTTATTTCAATGGGAGAATTTCAATTTAGAACAAGTGATGTGATATTATTTCAAATCAGACCCAACACAAATTTTGAAAATTCACTGCAGACCCAACGCACTAAATGGAAAATAAGTTTCAAAAGAAAATGCCAAGGCACTAGTAGCATTGGTTCAGCTGTTGGCGTTGTGGTTTCCTTCAAATTTATATTTCAATTTAGTGTCTTGATTTTATAGTGAATTTTCAGCATTTATTGGGTCTGATTTGGAAAAAATGTTACATCACTGGTTATCCCTTGATGCAGCACATCATTTTAACCAAGCTTTTTGTTGTTGTTGTTTTTTTTTTTGGGTGAACCAAGTCTTAAGTTGGTACCATTTCACTTAGTACAGTAAATGACTATGGTTCAATGATAGCCGATGAATCCAAATGGATTTAGATATTTTCTTGACAAAATTGGACTAGACTCTCATGCTACACTGAACGCATACAATGTTATACTATACTATATCAGATTTGTGAATAAATGTCTATACAATTACCTGTCTTGTAGATGAAAGGCCATTGATGAGCATTTCTATATTACATGAGCTATTTCAAAGAGAGAGCTCATTGAGTACAGACCTTCCCACAATTCCTTTACATGTGATTCAACAGAGTACTCATAATTTCTCCGAAGGTTCTAAATTGGGAGAAGGTGGATTTGGTCCTGTTTATAAGGTACAGATATATTAAATCTGAAAGTTATGGTTATTTAATAGGTTAGTTATTTTATTTTTCTTTAAATTTGCAGAGAAAATAACATTTAAGGACCCTGTTTGAACATTGATTACAATTAAGGATAATAAATTTTTAAAATTAAAAAAATACCAAGATCCTTTGATGGAATCAAATGTTGAAACTTATATTACATAGTTTAGATAATGTTAAAGGGTAGAAAAAGAATTAAGTTAAATTCAGTTAAAGCTCTAAAATCAATGGAAAAATATAATTTAATTTTACGATATGGTCAATGATGAGGAATTAATAGAGTTGAGAATTTTCAAAGATGGTACAGAAGTTAAAATATTAAATAATTTATTTTGTGCTATTAACTCTAATCCATGTGTAGAATTAGTTTTATGTGGTCAAATAAATCTTAGGTAAATTTACCTCTTAAATTATAGGTCATGCAACACTAAAAACACTAAACTTGTTTCTTGTGTAATTTATTCTATTAACTTTTGAATTCATAACAACCTCCTCCAACATTAAGTTGAGGAAAATGTTTATTACTGTATGGTGGTGGACTCCACTGGTCTGGACATGTGACACACTCATTTTTACCTAACATGTGGACAAACCAGTCAGCCCCACTACCACAAAGTAACAAACATTTTCTTTAACTTAATGTCAGGGGAGGTTGTTACAAACTCAAAAGTTAAAGGAAATAGACAAATTTAAGGTATCTGGTAGTACTCGATCTATAATTTAGGGTGTATATTACTCGTTTACCCTAAATCGTATGAGGGTTGGTCAAATTGAGTTGGTTTTGACAAGGTTGGTCAAAAAATAAAAAATAGACAAATTTTAAAAACAAATTCAAGAAAGCAAACCAACTTAATTTGAGTAATGAATTAGTCTTGTTGTCCATCAACTGGATTGATGTAATTTTAGTTTAAAACGGTATAGTATAAGGAGGAAAGATTACTTTTCCTTTTATTTTTTCATGAAAAATTTTATTTTCGATTCAAATGTTATATAAATAAGAAAGATATTTTTGGTTTGGAATTTTTGTTCTATTATTTTAAATTAATTATCTAAATATTAAATTTAATAAAAATAATTTCACCAAAAAATTAAATAAAAAGAATGTACAAGTAAAACATTCAAAGTTATTTTGAATGAACCAACCCTGCATATATTTGCTTGTTTCTAGCCAATAAACAACATGTCTATATTGAGCCAGGTTGGCCCTGAGAGAGCAAAATGGGTGCTATAAGAAATTAGGGCTAGCATTAGGCTAGAAAAATTATACACCCAGACTCTATATCCTTATATACTCCCACTTCTGTATCATAAATGACCTTATAGGTCATTTTGATTAGGAAAATATTACTAAAAGACTCTTAAAAGAATTTAAAATCTAACAAGGGACCTAAACGAATCGAATACTTATATAAACTACAACTTTATAACTTGTTAATTTGTCAATCTTTACATGTTAGGGGATATTAAATTTTTTTAGGGGTTATTCATTGATATTCTCCCTGTATGATTTGGCTTTTCTTCAAACATAGTATCCCTTTTTTACTCACTTACCAACCTTTTCAATAGGGAACACAGCCAGATGGGAGGAAAGTTGCTGTGAAAAGACTCTCTCAAACGTCAAATCAAGGTTCACAGGAATTCAAGAATGAAGTGATGTTTATAGCAAAATGACAACATAGAAATCTTGTCAGACTTCTGGGTTGCTGCATAGAGGAAAATGAAAAGCTACTGGTATACGAGTACATGCAAATTCTAGCCTCGACTCACATCTTTTTAGTATGCTTTCTGAACTCTTTCTCTCTTCAATTTGTCTCTCTTTATATGGCGCAAAATACTATTCGTGAGTAATATTGTAATTTAATATGCCAACAACCATGAATGTGCATTATATATTAGTTAAAGCGAGTTCATATATGCATGTTTAATATGTGGTGTTAATCGTGGTTAGTTGGTCACAATTGTATGATTAGTAGAATAATATGATGAGATACTTCAGATGAGAAAATCATTAGATGCATGGTATGAAAGTTATTCTTGTTCTTTACTTGGTATGAAAGTCAATCTGTGGGTTTTTCAATCTTTGATGTGATTCATGTTGGATATTGTAATTATATAATGACATTTCAAAAGGAATTATTATTTGATTAATAATATTAATCACTGATTAAATCTATTTATTTCTAATTATTTCCTGAAACCATTTTTTAATTGTATTAATGTGTTATTAACCAGCGTTTTATTGCTCAATGTTCATGATATCTCTACCTATAAAAGCAATGCATACCACATAGTTGGACAAAATGTCCCGAGTTTTTGGGAGCTCTCTTTCCCTCCCCTCCTCATGCTTTTCCTAAGTAATTCTGTGATTTTGGTTGTTCTATGGCCTTGCTTTTTGCATGAAAGGTTTGTTTAATCTTAGAGAGTTGCTGCATTTAACCATGTGTGGTGGAATAGTTCTTACGGATAATGTTCTTGAGAACAACTTGAATCATATTTTCTACTAAATTTTCCAACATTTCATTCATAAGAAAATAATTTAGATATGATTGTTTGCCCTAAATTTTGAGACTTAATTGCTAGTTTGCTACTGCCTTTATTTGCCTATAGCTTGTGTCATGAGTCCTACATTGAGAAGTCACATTAGTGGAGTATGGTTTATAAGTCAACTGGGCACCTTTTCCTTACAAGACGCCTTTTGGAGGTGAGTTCTACCTAGATGTCTTGTGGTTGTGACATTGGTGCTCTTGTTGAAAGTCGCTGTTTGCGGAAAGGGCTACCCACGAAGAGGCTGACCAGCCGAAGGCTAAGTGAAGTGCCATAGAGTGTGAGCTGTCGCGAACACTAGCTCTTGAGGGGTAGGCTATGTCATGAGTCTCACATCGGGAGGCCACATTGGTAGAGTATGGTTTATAAGTCAATTAGGCACCCTCCCCCTACGAGACATCTTTTGGGGGTAGCTCTATCCAAATGACTTATGGTCGTGATAGCTTGTTTCTTCTAGACTTATATCCTGCATGTTCATTTGTTTTATGGTTGCACCTCATGCAACCCGCTGTGCCCTTAATGTTCATTTGCCACGTTAAAGGATCCTTGTTTCATGGTCTTCATTTCCCCATTGTTGTTCTTCTATCTTGTTTTACAAGTTTACTTTAATGTTGATTTTCTTTTCACTATTGAATTCTACATTTTTCTTGGTATATGATTCTTTTGTCTTTTAGCGTAGTAAAAAAGAAATATGGACTAATAGATTGCTCTTGCTAAATATCAATGTTACCGTAAGTTGCATTTTGCATCTCCTAACAAAAATTTAAAACTAATAATGGGATATGGACCATCTAGAATTAATTTGAATGGCCTAAAATGTAAGTAGATTTATAAACCGCTATGAACACCTATGTACAAAAAACTCATATTTTGCACATTCATATACACTATAAAAATAATGTTCTGGTAGGGGATATGTAGCCATTGTAGTAGTGATGGTTTTAATCCCAACAATCCAGGTAGCGAGTGGCTTTAGAAACCGCTACTATGTATAAAGCCATCGTAACGAAGCATATATATAATTTCTTCTTTAGGGACAGCAACACATTTTACTTACAAATGTTGTTGTTCTCATAACTATTATGTAATAAAATTTTCAAAAAAAGAAAAAAAAGTCTCTTAGAGAACAACTTTAAATTTTACTTTTGTTTTTTTAACTTCATTTACTCTGTTGTCAATACATCTTTCCATGAATGTTTTTTGCTTTTCAGATGAAGAAAATAGGAAGAAACTAGATTGGAAAGGAAGACTAAATATTATTAATGGAATTGCAAGAGGATTATTATATCTTCATGAGGACTTACGACTTAGAGTAATTCATAGAAATCTAAAAGTTAGCAATATTCTTTCGGATTATGATATGAAATCTAAAATATCAGATTTTGAATTAACAATGACTTTTGAAGGAGCCCAAAATCAAGGAAATACAAAACGCATAATGGGTACATTGTAAGTGTTTGGATACAACTTGATCATTTTTCTTTTTTCCTTTTTCCCTTGAAAATTAGTTTTTAAATGATAGCTAGACTGCTATTTGAATTGATTGAAAATAGTGGTTATATGACTTTTGAATATGCTATCGAAGGATTTTTTTCAGTGAGATTAGATGGTTTTAGTTTTGGAGTTCTTTTACTGGAAATTATATGTGGAAAAAGGATTAGGGACTTTCACCTCTCTGAAGATGGTCAAAGTCTTCTATTTTATGTAAGTTATATTGCTAATCTTATCTCATCAGAGAAATTTTACTTTTATAGACAATGAACAATAATCACCCAATTTTAGGGCATTCATTATTTGAAATGACCATTTGCAATTGCTTCCAGGCTTGGAATTTGTGGTGTGAAGAAAAATGTTTGGAATTGCTGGACCCACTGCTAGAAGATTCATATGCAGAAATTGATGTCTTGAAGTGCATACACATTGGTTTGCTTTGTGTTCAAGAAGATCCAAGAGACAGGCCAACCATGTTCGCTGTTGTAGCCAAGCTTGCAAGTGACACAATGTTATTTCCCGATCCTAATCGCCCAGCATTTTCAATTGGAAGAATGGTCCTTGGAGATTCATCTTCATCAAAAAATTCCAAAGATCCTTATTTTGAAGAGGTAACCATGTCTCACATCAAATCCGGGTGACATAACTAATTTCATAGAGAGATGGATCCTCTATAGCAACTGCTCAATCTAGTGAGAATTAATAGAGATATAGAGAATGGTGGAACCCACTTGATATATGGATCCCATTATTTTCTTCATCTCTCTTTAGCAAGATCATTAAGATATTTGAAGAGGGTTTGGAACAAAATTTAATCAGCCATGAAGATTGAAGACCAAATGATGAAGTACTAAAAGCGTTCTAGGTTTTGACATATTAGAGCAAATCACGTAGGTTCATGCCTACCAAATATGTTTGTGCGAGTACACATGACTTGCTCATGTGTCATATTGTTATCAGATGAGATTTTGATGAGAAGATCCGAAAAATTATTCTAAAAGATTATCCTTTACTATATTAAAAGAAAAAGGCTTCTTATTCACCATGACAATTGATTGTGCATCTGTTGTAACAACCCAAAATTTCATGTAAATAAAAATAAATAAAAATATTAACGATAATTAAATAAATTAAATTAAAATTCATATGAGGTATTTAAATGTACTTTTATTAATTTTGAAAAAGATTAAAAAAAAAACAAATGATATGACTTAGTGAAAATTTTCTTGGTGTTTAACTCTCTAACTTTGGGTTCAAATCTTTGAGATAAAACGGGGAGTTGTACTTATCATTATTGTTATTATGATTATTATCATCATAGTTTTATGAAATTACACTATTGCCCAAGCCTTAAGCCATCAGATATTTGCCCCTCTTCCTCCTTCACCGACTTGTGCGTGCTCTGTATTTTGGAGAGAGCCAAACAAACTTTCGATGCAGAAGCTTCGAACCTTCAGGCCTGCAATTTCTGTTCATAGTCTCCATCCGTCCTCTCCATCATCCTTCCGTTGCCGTTCAGCTGGTTAGTGTGATTGAGAGTGTCTGGCATGGTTCTGTGCGTCTTCCCTTTTGTAGTTGCTGTGGTGGCTCGAAGTCCCTTCCTCCTTTCATCGCCGGTGTCGTCTGCATGGGAAGTAAGTCGCCGGAGAGGTGATGGTGCAAGGAGGAGGGTCCAGTAGTTGCTGAATGAAGTTGCTGTTGGTCTTTTTGTTCTTTTCTCTGTTGCTGCGGTAACTGGACGTCCTCCTTCACCTGTTCAGCGTGAGTTTTGAATTCTCCTTCCCTTCTCTGTGTCTCGTTGGTGATATGAAGTATAGAAGTTTCGAATTCTCTTCCCTCTTCCCCCTTGCTGTTCCGCCTGTGTGTTATTGGCTAAGTCATGGACTCATTCCTTTTTCTTTAACCGTGTGGTGCTTCTTTGCGTTTGAAATTAATTTTCTGTTAGGGTGTATATATATATTTTGGTGGTTGATGGTTTTAAATATCTTTATTGTGAAATTTTGGGAGTTGGAATTGGTAAGGGAGAAGTTGGTATTAGTTCATGACTTTATGTTCATGGAGTGTTTGATCAAATGCTTGTTAGAGGAAATTTTGTTTGAATATGTATTTTTGAGACTTAGCTAACTCAAATATAAGAAGCATATCTAGCTTGGGCGTTAATGATTCTTGAACCTAATTTGAATGTTGTAAGGGAGTTTAACAATGAAGTGATGACAAAGATATGTGTAGTTAGTTGAATGTTAAAAGGCTTTATTTTGTGGTTTGGAAATAATGTATAATTGGTTTTCGAGAAAAAAGCTTAATTTAATGGAGTAATTAGCAATGGCTACTGAGCAATATTTTTGTGTGTATAAAGTCTTGGTTTTAAAATTTCAAATCTATTATAAGTAAATATTGGAGGTGATGATGTTGGGAGGGAACTCTTGAACTTATTCAAAGTTGACTAAAACTTTAATATATTTTATACGATATTTTAAAGAGAATAAATTTAATTGAAGTCATAAGAGGTGAACTTTGAATTGTGAGAACATTTGAGGTAAGTGAATAACGTCTTAATGAATTGTTATCAAACTTATTTTATTGAAATTATTGCTTGAGCATATTTGTACGTCACACCCTCTATTTATATAAACCTTTTGGTTCCTTAAAAACAATGATAAAATGTTTTTTATTTCATTTTACTTAATGGTTTATGATTCTAATTTTATTATCGATGATTGAATTTTAAAATGTTTTCTTCACAAGTGAATTTTATAGAAATATATGAGATTATTTTCTTCAAATCAATATTTGAAGGCAATTGCTACGTTGATTTACACGTAAGAGAAATCATGTTGATTTTATAAACATGTACATGTTTTTCTTAAATTGTGGGATTGAATCAGAACATTGGTTGCTAATGGCAGTTCCGTTAGCTCTTAGTACGCCATGGTACACCTAGCTAGCAGGGTGCTTAGGAGGTGGTAGCCTCGTGTGATGACCAACGCACGTGGAATGGAGGGATGGTTATTCGTGAGCATAGTACTCACACTTGATTTTGTGGGCCTTGTGCTCGCGCTTGTTTTCGTGGTTTTGAGCCACGCTTGTTGATTATTTACCCTCGTGGACTGTGTATCTATACTTGTTAATTGTTATGATCATATCCTACTAAAGATTGAATTCTAAAAAGTTAATTTTTCTTAAAATTTGATATTTTAAAGTAAACTGTTATTTTTGCCATATTTGGATTTTATATTTAGTTATATTAATCTCAAAGTGTTAAACATGTTTATGTTTAAAGTGGTGTTTAAATTTCTAATAAAATTGTGATTGAATTCATACATTCATAATTTTTACACTTACAAAATGATTGATGTGCACGCGCGTGATATGTGTTACATTATTTTCAATTGATTATTTTATTAAATTTATAAGAAACTTATTGGTGTACTTTCTATTATTTTTATCAATCATAATTGGGATGTTATTCATTGGAAAGTTATTTTTTGTCTTAGATAATATAATTGATATTGTATGTCCTGCTGACTACTAAAGAGATTGTTTTATGAAGCAAGGTAGAGGTTTGTTTTGTAAATATCTCTTTTTGATGTAATTATGAAATTTGTGTATTATGTCTTAAAAAAATATGGTTAGATGCTCCACATATGCTATAAATAGGATCCTTATTTAGTTATATAATCTATCTATGGGCTGGATGGAACTGTGCTCCTGATTTTAGTGATATTTTGTTGGTAAAAAATGTATTGTAGGATTTTTAGGAAGGCATACTTATGAGGGAGGTGCTGTCAAAATTCTTATAAAAATAATAAGGCTTTTGTCTGGATTTCCTAATTTTAATATAAATATAATTAAGTAATAGAAAATTTTCTTGAACTAAGGCTTAAGGGATATGTGTTTTGTACACATATCTCATACCGGTCACTCTTATATTTTGGGGTGTGTCATCTGTATATTTGAGGTTCGTGTTATGTTGAATAATTAAATGTATTATATACTTATGTTTTTAGGATTTGATTATTCTTTGTAGAGGAAACTCCACAGATGCTATTTAAACTTTTGTAAATAATTAATTAAATTTGATGAGTTTTATAACTTTATAATTAATTATATAATACATAATTTTATAACTAAAAATTTTCTATTTTTCATAGAAAATTTAACCTTAAGAGTTTAACATATATAATAGATCAAACTATAAGGGCTTGATTAGAATAAAATAAATTACAAGGACCTAATTTAAAATTGAGCAAAACTATAAGGATTTGCATATTAATTTTTTGAAGACAATATTTTCATGAAATTTTTTGGACAAGTGCAATTGGTATTCTTAACTTTTTTCCCCCTAGAAGTTTGAAAATGGTGCAACACATCTCCTTGTAAAAATGTTTGACCAAAGTTGACCATTTATCGAAAAATTATGAAGGTCACAGGGAAAATTTTCACTGAAATTAAAGTTTGTTTGAATAATCAATTGATATCCTAAAATTTTGATTAGCATAATATTTTTGGATTATCAATATTTTGAATAACAATATAACAACTCGTTATAATCTAGTATAACCTGTGGGATGGTAGGTGAGAGAGTAAACTCTAGATTCAATGCACAAGTGTAAAATCAGAGTTATAGCACTCACGAGCAATAAATTTGTTGTTCCAGACTTAAACGATGGTACTTTTATTTATAGTTTTCATTTTTCATTTTCATGAGTAATACTAGCCATTAAATATAAGTTCTAGTGAGGTGGGTTTCTCTCCTTTGCTTTTTTTTCTCTACTGCCTCTTCACTACAAATTTAAACTGTTTAAATTAAATTTATATTTTTAAAATTATTAATTGTAAATTTTTAAATTCAATTTGACCGTCCAGATCTATATTAGTCTCTTCTCTGCTCTCCTTTGCAGAGGAGAAAATGTAACTCCAAGTTCTAGCATGCTGTTACGTACTTAAATGAATTGGAAATATGTTAGTGCCTTAATTGCACAAAGTACTTCGTATTATACAATTGAAAAAAATTAATTAACTATAATAATTATATTTAAAAATAAAAAACTATGCTAACATACCCTTATATTTAATCAAAATAAGGCTACATTAATTTTTTCCTCATGAATAAAAATTATTAGTTGATGAAGAAGTAATTTAGGAAAATTGTAATAAATGCTAATTGAGATGAGAGAGAGAGAGATATATATATATATATATATATATATATTTTGCTTATAAAAAAAAACAATGAGAGATAGTTTCTCTTATATATAGAAATGGAGAGAATAACTTGTAGTAGGCCAACATAATACTCCCTCAATCCTAAATTATAAGATACTTTTAAATAAAACCATACTAATAAAGCTCATTAAACACACTTTACAACTTTACCTTTTCAAGAAAAAAATATAAACTTTCAAAAGTGTCATCAATCTAATACTCTATTTGTAAAAGAATATTAAAAAGAGAGAATATATGAAAAAGATTATATTAAAAAAACACCATTATTGAAATATTAATTTTGTCAAAGTGTCTTATATTTTGAGATGTCAAATCTCCCTTAAAAGTATCTTATAATTTAAGATGAAGGGAATAAGATGTAAGCGACTATAAAAAGACAAATCAACAATCAAAGGTGCTCTAAATAGGCAGATATTGAGCTAGTAAAAAAATAACAGGATTGAGAATATAACAATATTTAACTTTAGAAGAGAACAAATTAAAGGTGAACAAACCCAATCATACCAAACCAATATAATAAAAACTAAATAAAACTGAATATTAGTAAGGCTAAGTTTGACTTTATAAACATGAAAACCAAATGAGTTAGTTTAGGTTTCGTTTTTTCTCTTTGAAAACTTAATTAAACCTGAATCATACTTTTTATATTTTTAAATATATTTTTTTATTAATATTAGACTATTAGTATGTATTTTTTTTAATTTTAACTTTAACTAAAATCCAGCCAAAACCTAAAATACTTTAGTAGAATCTCTAATCATTCCTTTCACAATTTTTCTATTAGAGAGTCTAATGCATATACTTGTGTTTAGACAATTTTATATA